CCGACACCACGGTGATGGAGCTGCTACAGACACCATGGGCTGACCCGGTTAAGAGAAAGGAAACTCTTTCCTTCCTTCACAAGCTTGGAGCAGCTTCTCTGGTTTCACAAGAGAAGTGACATAAGATTCGGTGGGGGTTTAGGTTGGTCTGAGAGGATGCGGTTGGTCCGGGACTTGGAGATCAGTCCAGGGACTCACTGCAAAGCTCAGGTTGGGATGAGGATGAACACCCAGTCTCCTCTGCAGAGGTTAAATGACCCTTTGGGAGGCCCTGGTGCCATTCTTACCTTGGCTGGAAGTGGGCAGGCCAGGGATGAGGGCATGGGTTTTAATATCTATGGTACAAGGTGGGATGGAGTGTTTGTCCTCATAGTCATCAGCCCAGCAAGCGTTAATGAGACATTTCAGAGAGGGAGAAAAGAAGAAGATCTCTTCTATTGTTGGAGTAACTCGGTTGATCTGAGAGCGTAGGTGGAATAAATGTGCCAGATTTTAAACAGGGACTTCCATTTATTAGCACAACCTTAAGGAAATAGTTCGTACGTCATTAGGAGTGATGTCTTCTCAGCAACCATCATTACTATTAACACATTTATCTAATAGCCATTTATTCTGGAATCTCACAGGCTTTACAGGTATTAACCGATTACAGCAAGGAAGATTTTATTTCAACAACTGGGAAAATACACATTGGTCAGGAATTCTGCAGAATCAGGGGTTCTGAGTTTGAACATAGAATCACCGAATGGTTTGGGGTGGAATGGTTTCCATTTTCATATGCGCATGGCATGATCTGCAGGTCAGCACAGAATACATCCCTCAGATCATTGCTTATGGTTTAATTTCACCATTTACAGGAGAAGCATACTTTGTAAAGCTGTTCACTGGGGTTTGGGGCTGCTCCCCAAATAAGCAACCCTCCATTTGAAACGAGGTTTACTTGTTGTAAGGAGGACAGGCTTCTGTGCCTTTGGGGTTACACTGGTTCAGGGTTGCAGGCTCCAGAGCCACCTTCACCTGTGGATAGAGAGAGGTGATAAGAGCACAGTGGGACTCACCTGATGTGAAGTTCTCATGAGTGACAAGGTATGACAGGCCATGGTGAGGAGGGGAGCAGGGAGGTGTCTCCCAGCCACTGATAAGCTGCTCTGGTTACATAGCACCGTGTGTGCATGTGTTTGTGGTGTGAGAGGCTGTGAGGTGTGATGTTAACAGCGTGCTGCCAGGACTTCAACAAAGAACCTTGCCTTGGAAGTACCAGACGGGTGAGAGACCAGTTCCAACTGTGGCATAACAAAGCCAGGGGTGGGCAGCCTTTTGCATGACATTTTCGCCACTGTGGAATGATAATGTTGCCATGGGGCTGCGTTTCCAGTGCAGGTGATGCTCTCCAGCACTTCCAGACCCTGGAGCCTCATCTAAACCTGCTGCAGCCTCCTGAGGGACAGCACAAATAGGGTCTGGAGGAGTTTTAGTTCCCTGTTTACCAGGGAACAGAATAAGGAAAGGAACTGAGAGGTGATGGAGTCTAAAGGGTGCAGTACCTCCATGTGGGAGTTGGGAGATTTGCTTTGTGCCCATCTCTGTGTGATTCTCAAGAAGCTGATCCCCATCCCACAGGGATCTCCAGGCCCAGCTGGAATATGAGTGACAAAGATGATAAGGAATGGTTGTTTTAGAATAATATGTATATTTTAATGTAAGCTTCTGAGCATGGAGGATTGGCCCTTGGTAACACTGCTGCGTGCCTCTGCCTTGCATGGGGGACTTGTCCTGGAGCGTGGCAGAGCATCAGCAGGCAGGGCCCTCCTGGGGATGGAGCTGTATCCCAGCTCCTCCTGGAAAAATTAGCTGAAACTAATGAAATTTCACATTCTAGAACAAAATGGTTTGTTTTCATCTTGAAAACAGCGTAATGATGCACTTCAGAGCACTGGGATTGTGGCTGTGCATGCCATATCCTTGCTGTAGAGTGGAAATAAGTTGTGTGTGTGTACAGCCAAACTTACAGCATCGCTTACTGTACAAGGGGAGGGAATGGGTTTTAAATGTGCATCTTTTAAATCAAACAAGGTGTTTGGCCACATCTCCTCACTGCAATGCCCCAGTTTCACACCGTCTTCTATAGGTGACCCTATAGAAATCCACTGCTCCATTTGCAGCTCAGGTGTCACAAGCAGTGTGTGCTGTGCTGTGCTAACGAGCCCTGTCTGGAGCGTGCTGGTGACCTCTTTAATTGCATGCACGCTCACAGCACGGGGGGATGAGCACTTGAGTGAGCCCCTGCCTCTTACCTGGCTCTCACCCACTGGCCCAGGCAGGCAGAATGTGCTGATCCACAGACACCCAGCATCCAGGAACTCTGTTGGACTCAGGCTGTGTGAGCTCATGTGCCTTGGTGTGTGTGTGTGTGATGAAGCAGGGAGAAAGCAGGGCATGCTGGCCAGAGCCTCCATGCCCTGTCAGTAGCCTTAGAATAGAAGTCTATATAAATAGGGGGTGACATAGGATATTATATAGTACTGTGGTATCAAATTGTAGAATCTATATATAGAAGATTAATCAGCAGTGGGGACTAAGCAGATAGATATAAACGCAGCTGGGAGCTCTGGCTTCATTTTCATAGGAGTGAGGGAAGTCCCTGGTGCTGTGGTACCTGGTCCAGGTGATGCAGCTTTATCACCTCAAACCCAGACCTGCTCCTGCATTCAAAGCCAGGTTGGATGAGGCTTGAGGCAACCTGGTCAAGTGGAAAGTGTCCCTGCCCGTGGCAGGGGGCTGGAGCTGGATGAGCTTTAAGTCCCTTCCAACCCAAACTATTCTGTGATCTATGATTCTGTGCTCCACAGCAGGTAGGCAGAGGGCAGTGCTGGTTTCCCCACCACCTCAGGCATATTATCCCTCTGTTTTATTGGGATAGTCCTATTTTTTCTTTTATATCAGTTATTTTCCTCAGACACTCTGCATGAGGGTGGTGGCAGACACCCAAAGCTGATTCTCTGCTGATGACAAAACCCCTTTGGCGTTGGGAACCCTTTTCTCCATCAGTTTGCTAAGGATGCAGCAGCCTTTTCTCTGCGCGCATCTGGGAAGCCAGCGACAGTGGTCTGTAGAGAGAAGTCCATGCAGTTACTCCTTTCTAAGCACGAAGATCTATCTGATCCTGCTGGGCAGGAGAGCACTGTCGGCCCTCAGAAATAAGAAAACCAGGGAATGTTCCCAGAGCCAAGTCAGTGGCAGGAGCAGGGAAAAGCTCTGGACACCCTCTTCCCTCTGCCGCTGCACAAGATCCCGTGTACGTGTTAGATGGGTGGCTGAGATTGACTCTCACTCCCAGGGAAGTTCAGCGACTGTGAAATTAGTAAATTACACAGGCCCACAGAACTTGGAAAAACAATATAATCCGGGGGGGACTGAAATAATTAATTTGCTAATCAACTACACCTTGCTTTTTTTAATTTGCAAATAGCACTCGGGTTTGTTTCCCCGTTTCAGCCGCCTCAAGAGCAGCGGGATTTCGGGCAGCAAAGGCCAAGGGATGCGGGGCAGAGCTGAGCAGTGACCCCAACAAGCACTGGGTGATGCTTTTTTTGGGGGGGGGGGGGGCTCTGGAGGCAAAGGCAAACCCCGGATCCAGGCACTAACTTGTGAGGGAAGAGCCGGTTCCTGGTTTGTCTCCTGGTCTCACTGCGCCCGTTGTTTGCTTTAAATCATTTCAAATGCGGAGGTTGTCAGACAAGACAATTAACATGGGGAAGGGGGAAAGTATTACCATCCATTATTTGCCATAACATGAATTTAAGCCGGGAAGTCAAATGATAAAATATGTGGTCAAAAGTGGTGGTGGTGGGAGTGCCTCCATGAGTAATAGCCCTGGGCTTCTGAGCCTTGAACTTAACACGCTAAGTAAATCCCCGAGGTCAAAAAGTAGGAAAATTGTTGCAGCTTGGGGAGATATATTTTAACTTCGCAAAGGGTCCTGGCAAACCCGCTGCAGGGGTTCGGGGAGAGGAGGATGGAGAGCGGTGCCCTGCTCTGGTGGGTGCCTGCAGCCGCTCCGGAGCGGCTCGGACCGACGGTCGGGGGCTGCTTCCTTGTTTTGGGGCGAAAAAATCCATATATATATGTATATATGTAGATTAAAGCGGTGAGGAGTGCGCCGGAGCGGGGCTATGGGGTGTGCGGGCGGGTCCCCAGCGCCGCGGCAAGAAGCGATCGAGGAGCCGACGGGTCCCCCCCGGGGCTGAGGGGAACCGGGAGGGGATTCGGGGGTCCCCGCTCCGCTCCAACTCTTCCCCTTTAAACCCTGTTCCTTCCGCCCGAGCTGACCACGGCGCTGGATTTATGGCGAGCGCTGTTTTGGCAGAAATCCCCCCGAGCCTCCCCTCAGCCCTAAATCCCCAGCCCGCGCTCCCTGGGAGACCTCCTGACACAGAGCATGCCAAAACAGCTTCGTTTTGCCTATGCATTAGCAATCCATTTTACCTTTTTGACATCTCTCACACATAAAACCGTAAGAGAGAAATAAAATATCTGTCTCTGGGCGAAAATAAAGCTTTGCCTCCCTCCTGATCTATAGGATATAAAATAAAGCCATGGCTTTGATAGTGGCTTTTCCTTATACCGGAGTTGCTTTTGCACACACGGAGACAATGAAGATGGATGAGCCGGGATCGGTGCGTCCTCCCGGGGTTTGTTTCACCCTCTTTTTTTATAGTCTCCCCCCGCCCCCGCCACCTCTTTACTTTTCCTTCTTTTCTCTTTTATTCGTCTTTTCTCTGCCCTTTTCTCTGTCTTTAACAAGGGGAAGAATCCCCTTCGGCTGTCACACACAGCCCTGCCCCGACCCCCAGCGCGCTCCCGGGTGGGCTCGGGCCCCTTCCCGGGCTCTTTCTCCCTTCCTGGGGAATTTCCCTTTTCCCGGGCCCTTTTCCCTTTCCCAGGCCCTTCTCCCCTTCCCCTCGGCCGGCAGCTCTCAGTCAGACGCATGGGCGCACACCTCGGATTTGGAATAATTTATTAACTCTATTTCCCATAAACAATGCATGAGCTTCGAGTGTAAGCGACAACATTTAGCGACATGGAAAGAAACCCGGGCGGGGGGCAAGGGGGGGGAAGCTAATCAAGGGGGCAGCAGAATAAATAAGGCCAGGGAAAGGCGAGCGGAGCCGGTGCCGACTTCCCCGCCCCGGCATCGCCCCGAGCGCAGCAGAACCAAGCGGGACCCTCCGATAGGTATTTTAAGGAATTTTCTGGGGAGTCCAAGCTCCTCTAAACCAAACCTGGCGCGGCGATGGATCCTGTCCAGCAACGGGGTTATCGCGCGGGGTTGTTTTACCGGGTTTAATTACATCTTCAGTGTTTGGTTAGGGCAGCGGCCGCGAAGATGTTTAATAGGCGGAGGTGCTTTTCCTACGGGGAAAAGTTCGGGAAGGGGAGAAGGGGTGACCGGGGGTTGATACTCCCGCTTCACCCGCGCTGTCCCCCCGCAGCGCTGCCTTGGGTGCTCCGACCCGCCGCGGTGCTCCCCGATAGATGCGGGAGCAGCGTTCCCCCGGGATGCGCAGGAGTCCGGGAAGGAGGGAAAGAACTGGGATGGACACGGAGAGCGCGTCCGTGCCCGAGCGGGAGGGACGTTTCTTCCTCGGCTTCGCCGCGGGGCTCTGCCGGTGGCCGGGCGAGCGGCTCCGGTGTTTGTACAGCACTAGTGCCCCGTAAAGGAGAGAGAAATCCCATTACCGGGCGCAGCGGTGTAGAAAGGCTGCTGATAACCGGAGTGATGTTTAACTAAAAAGACGGGAACGACACCTATAAAATGCAAATTCAAACGCGCCTAAAAGGGGCCTTTTTTCCCCCTTATGTATCAGATGTAAAATAAATTCGAGGGAGTTTTATTAACATTATTTTCCTCTTTTAATTTCCCTCTTTCTCGGCTCCCGGGCCGCTCGGCTCTGAACAGCCCGCACAGTTCTTCCCCGGGTATGGATAGGCTCGGCCCCGCCACCCCATCATCACCAAGGACTTGGGTCCGGCCGGGACCGGGCCTGGGGGAACTGCGGAATACAATGAAAAACCAAAGTGAAATGAAATCAAATCCCCACCCCATGCGCTGTGCCCGGCCGGGCGCTGCCGTGCCGCCCATCCCCGTGGCTTGCAGGGATTTCTCCCGTTCCCTCATGCCCCGTGGGTGCCCCCCGCCGTGTCCCGCTGGGGACCGAGCTCGGTGGGGTTTTGCTTTCTCGGATCCCACTGGAAACAGCGCCGGTATTTTCACCGCTCAAATACCCGCTCTAACCCATGGTTCCCCTTCCCTAGGGGGTGTTTGGCCCTTTTACACCCCACGGCAACGGGGATGTGCGTGTACTGGGGTGGAAGGGAGACCCGCCGGTAAGTCACTGTCGCGGCACTGCGGGTGCCGGGTACCGCTCGCCCTCCGCACCCCGGGGGACCGGATGGGATCGGGATGTGGATAGGGGCATAGTGATGTGTGCCTGCCTCGGCGTCCCCAGGCCCTGCGCGGAGCCGTCGGGACGGGAGGGGCAGGGGACAACCAGCTGCTTTCGCTAACGCCTGGGAAAGGAGAAAAAAAACACACAACAAAATCGCTGTGAAACCCTGGTGCTTGATGGACATAAGCTGCTCATCTCCCTCCCCTCATTCATCCCCACCGCCACATGTCACAGGGGGCCGCGGTCAAAGGGAAGGGTCCCCTGACGCCAGCCCGCAGCTGTCGCCTTCCCGGGCGGCGGAACGGGGCCCGCTCCGCCTGGGAGCTGCCCAGCTGCGGGCACCGGCCGGGGGGAGCCCGCCCGGGCCTCCATTGATCCCGCAACCGCCGGCAAAGCAAAGCAACAGCTGGGCGGGGACGCGGAGCGCCCTGCGCGGCCCCGACAGGGCGGGGATGGCCGGTTCCGGGGAGACCTGGGCGGGCGGCGGACGGACACAGGGCCCGCGGCTTTTAAACACCCGCAGAAGCACCGAGGGGTGCCTCGGCACGGGGTGATGCTCTACGGGCTCGGCAGGCCCCGCACCGGGCCCATCCGCCCCAGGCCGGAGCCCCGCGCCGCGGTGAGGGTTTTCCTGCCTTCGCTTCCTTTTTTATGTTCCAGTTTCTCCTTTCTCCACGTCTTTATTTTTCCTCCCAAGGACGAGGAAAAGAGGCATAAAAAGGGGAGCATGATGATGCTGCGGGCTTCGGGGTCGGCGTCCGTCACCCCCCGTTCCCCGGGCAGCCGCGGAAGGTGCGCATCCAGCTGCCGTGTGTGTAACCAGCTCAGGCCCTTTAATCCCCCGTTTCCCTCCTAATTCCCCGCTAGCGAAATCCACCCGCCCGCGACGGGGGGAAGCACGGGGGCTCCGGCGCGGGGGGGGGCGGGAGGGTCCCGGGCCCGGCGGTGACACCTCCCGGAGCGCGGGGCAGCAAAGAGAAATCACGGCCCTCCTAAACCGGCCCGGAACAGACCGGGCCCCTGGAAGGTAAAAGCAAAGGAATCTTTATTTGACAACAAAAAAAAAACCAAACAACTGCTAAAAAAGTCCATCCGCGGCAGCGCTACGAGCGCCGGGAACGGAGTCACCGTCCGCTACCGGAGCCTTCCTTCTGCCGTCGGAGCGCGCGGCCCGGCCTCTCCGCACCTTTCCTTCCGGCAAAGGCGATCCGCCGCGGGTGCGTTCCCGGCGGGGGACACCGCTCCGCGCCCCCGGCCTCGGGACCCGCCGTTTACGACGGGGGCACCCCCGTTAAACCGGGAACTCGTTTGGCTCCGCTTCTTCAACCGTCTACAACGGGCCCCGGGCGGTGTTTGCCTATAGCGGATGCGCAGCCCCGTGGGGGTGCCAGACCTCAACGACCGTCCCTATCCCCCCGCCGTTCCCCCCCCGCGCACTGGCACCGCACCGGCACACCTACCGTCTGCCGCGCGCTCCCGGCGCTCCGAGCGGGGCGCGCCTCGGCCGGGCCCGACCGGCGGCGGCCGCTGCTCACCCGCCCGCCCGTCCCTGCGCGGCGGCGGCGGCGCCCCGGCGGCTCTATAAAGGGGCGCGGACGCCCCGTCCGGCGGCGGCGCGGCGGGCGCGGGAAAAAGGGGTGGGGGGGGTGACGGGGACGGCAGCGGCGACGGCGGCGATTGGCCGGGAGCGGCGGTGACGTGTGCGCGCGGTGCATAAGGCTGCGGCCGCGGGGCTGCCGGGAACATGCAGAGCGCCCTGCGCGGCCGGGACGGCGCGGCCCGCGCCGCTCTCTGCCCGCCCTGCCCTGGCCCGGCCCGGCCCGGCCCGCCGCCGCCGCCCCGGGAGGCTCCACTGCAGCCGGCAGCACCGGGCGATGCCGCGCCGGCTCGGCGGGGACGCGGCCGGCCGCCGCGGGTAGCGCGCAGGGCGGTGCGCGGGGGTAGGTAGGAAGGAACCAGGCGCGACGGCACCGCCGGGACGTCGAGGGAGAGAGGCGAAAAACATAAGGAGAGGAGGAAGAGGCGAGAGGACGGAGCGAGGAGCTGCGGAGCGTGTCCCCCCCCCACTCCTCCCCGCGTAAGGACGGCGGCCCGCTCCGCGGGCGCGTAGCGCCATGTCGCCGCGGCGGCGGGCAGAGCCCCTGTGAGCGCGGCGGCCCCATGTCTCCGTTTGTCGTTTATTCCTTTTTAATTTTGCATTTTGATTTTGATTTCTCTTTGGGAAAAGCACTTTGACTCCTGACTGCTCTACCTCAGACCTGAGAAACACTCGTCACTCGCTTTTTGCCGTTGGGTTTTGTTTCCTTTTAATTTTTTCCTTTTTTTTTTCCCTTTTGAATCGTTTTTAATTTTTTACGAGCGCCGATCTTTCTGTCGTTGTCCTTTTCTCGTTCCTATAATTACTCTCGCTGTTGCTGTCGTGGTTGGTAGCGGCCGGGACCCTGCGGTGTGTGGAAGCGCTGGTCTCCTCGGGCAGTGGGTGGTTTCTCCTGTGTATCCCTCCTAGGACACTCGAACGAAGATTCTTTTATTTTTTTTTTGCTTCCTCCCTTTTCTTTTCCTCCTCCTTCGCTTTTCCGAGGCTTTTAAAACAAACACAAATTTTAAGCAAACCTCCGCCGGTGTCGTCTTGAAAAAAAACCGCATCTTTTCATTTCTTTTTTGCTTGACATCTGGGAAACCGACCCCCGCTCTCAGAACTAACCAAAGACAATGGTTCACTGTGCAGGCTGCAAAAGGCCAATCTTGGACCGGTTTTTGTTGAATGTACTGGACAGGGCTTGGCATGTGAAGTGTGTTCAGTGCTGTGAATGTAAATGCAATTTGACAGAGAAATGCTTTTCGCGAGAAGGCAAGCTTTACTGCAAAAACGACTTCTTTCGGTAAGTACCGGGCCCCTGCCCGCGGCCGTAGCTCCTCCGCAGCCGTTTCCCATCTCCTTTTTTCCCCGTTTCGTTTTTATGCGCCTTCCCCCGTTGTCACCATGATCCACAAACACCTTTTTCTTCCGCACCCGTCGCTCTTCCTCCCGCCGGTCCCGCTGTGGGGCGGCGGGGGGGGGGGGGGGGTTCAGGCCGGGGCAGGCCCTGGCGCCCCGTCGAGGCCGGGCCGCGCTCCACTTGCCCAAAGTTGCCTCGGAACTATCGACCGGCGGGTCCTGGTGCTGCTGTCGCCGCCGCTGCAGCCGCTCTCCGCCGGCCAGAGCTCGGCGTTGCCCGCAGCCGCACCGGCGATGGAGGCCCAGTGCAGCGGAGCTCCGCGGTTCAGTGCGCGGCTCCGCGGGCCCTGTAACTCCCGTTAAACGGAGCCGAGGCCGCGCCGGCGGGTAGCCACCCACTGCTGGCGGATCGATGGAAGGGGCGTTGGGTACCGACACCCGCTCGCAGCCGCATCCCCCGCGCATCCCGGCGGGCTCCATCGGAACGAATCCCGGGCCCTGGTGCCCCTGTTCGGCCGGGGCCGCCGCGCACCGACAGCGATGACCGGTTCAGGGCCGGGGTGCTCTCCGGGCCCTCCTCGCCGCACACCGAAGACTGCACCAGTGACCCGCTGCTCAGCTGCCTGGCACCGAGAGGCCGTGGGGTGCCCCGGTGGAGCGGAGCGCTGCAGGCTCTGGTGCTGTTCCGGTGCGGGTCCCCAGCGCCCGCCGGGCCTGGAGCGGCCGCTGCTCTGGCCGATGCGCGGCCGCGGCCGGTGAATAACGAACACGAATTTATGCTTAATATCGATTAACGTGTCGTTAATTGCTGTGCCGGGGCGAGCCCCGGACATCGCCCGGATGCTGAATCGTCCCTCAGACTTCACCCGCCCCGGATCGGGTCCTTTGCCCTATTCCTTCTTTTTTCTTTTAAGACATAATTCTAAGCCTCCTCTGGTTAGGGACGGAAACAATCCGAGGGATGCTTTATTTTACGGAATGTCCTTGCGCGGGGCGAGCGGAGGCCGCGGTGATGGGCGCGGGGCCGGGCTGCGGGCCGCTCTCGGCGGTACCCGCGGCTCGGGCGGGCGGCGCTGACCCGCTACCCGGCCTCTCCCTGCAGGTGTTTCGGGACCAAGTGCGCGGGCTGTGCCCAGGGCATCTCCCCCAGCGATCTGGTCCGCAGGGCGCGGAGCAAAGTGTTCCACTTGAACTGTTTTACGTGTATGATGTGTAACAAGCAACTCTCCACCGGCGAGGAGCTCTACATCATAGACGAAAACAAGTTTGTCTGCAAAGAAGATTACCTAAATAACAGCAATACTGCCAAAGAAAACAGCCTGCATTCAGGTGAGGGAGCGCGGCCGGGGAGTTGCAGGGATGCGCTCGGCATGCGCGGGGTGGGAGCGGCTCCGCTCCGGTCCCTTCTCCCTTTCTCCTCCCTTCTCCTCTTTTTCCCTTCTCATCTCTTTTCCCCTTCACCTCTCCCTTCTCTTCTCCTCTCCCTTTTCCCCTTCCCGGTCCTACCGGCCCGTCCCCGCAATCGGTGTTTTCTCCCGGGCGCCCCCAATCTGAGCGTGCTCCGCTTTGCTGTCTCCCAGCCACCACCGGCAGTGACCCCAGCCTGTCCCCCGACTCCCAAGACCCTTCCCAGGACGACGCCAAGGACTCGGAAAGCGCCAACGTGTCCGACAAGGAGACGGGCAGCAACGAAAACGACGACCAGAACCTGGGGGCGAAGCGGCGGGGGCCCCGCACCACCATCAAAGCCAAACAGCTAGAGACTCTGAAAGCCGCCTTCGCGGCCACCCCAAAACCCACCCGGCACATCAGGGAGCAGCTGGCACAGGAGACCGGCCTCAACATGCGGGTCATCCAGGTACCGCGGCCCCGGGCGCCGGGGATGCGCTGCCGCGGAGGGGCCGGTGCTCGGGGGAAGCCCCGGGGCAACCTCCCCGCCTCCCGTTTAAATCGTTGTTAGCGAGGCGGCCCGGTGAGGGCAGGGGCAGAGCTGCGGGTTTCTTTTAAAAAAGTCCTAAAGGATGCTGCAAATGGTATCGAAATTAATAACCATAAATGTGAGGGGTTAATGGATAAATAAGAATGAGAATACACTGGAATTATTAAAGGGTTTATAAACCCGCGGCGCTGGGGGTAATGGGGGGTTAAAGGACCATTAAAGACGAGGTTAGATTGGAGAGGCTCAGTGTGAGGGTAATTAGGAGTAATCTTGTCAGGGTAATAAGAATTAACTCGATCATTCTTGACCTGCGGGCGGCGGGGAGCGGCCGCGGAGCCGCGGTCACGGGTGGGTTCGGCCGCGTTTGGAACGAGGAGCAGCGCGGAGCGGGGTGCACCGGATCGGGTCCCCCCCCGCCGGAACGAACGGGAAACGTGGGGGGGGGGGGGGGTCCGGGCTGCCGTGAGCAGAGACCCCTCCCGCGGTGACCGGCTCCTCTCCCGCCGCCCGCCCAGGTCTGGTTCCAGAACCGGCGCTCCAAGGAGCGGCGGATGAAGCAGCTGAGCGCGCTGGGCGCCCGGCGGCATGCCTTCTTCCGCAGCCCGCGCAGGATGCGGCCGCTGGTGGACCGGCTGGAGCCCGGGGAGCTCATCCCCAACGGGCCCTTCTCCTTTTACGGAGGTGGGTATCGCGCCCCTCCCCTCTCCTCCGGACATCCCCTGTCGCGATACCGCACCTCCGGCTCCGCGCCCGCACCGGGGGCACCCCGGTTCTGCAGACCGGGCTCTGCTGGAAGGGCAGCCCCGGGAACCAGCCAGGCCGTTAGCGCCTCCCCCCCACCCTGGCCAGGCCATCAGCACGTCCCCTGCCTTGTGTTTGTTGAGCTCTGGGTGACATTTCAAGACCCCCCCCTAACTCCCCCCCCCTCCAGATGCACGTTCGTGTCTTTTTCCACTCGGTTGCTTTGCCTGTGTGTTATCTTCCTTCTGTCTCTCCTTGCCCGGCAGATTATCAGAGCGAGTATTACGGCCCTGGAAGCAATTACGATTTCTTCCCACAAGGACCTCCATCATCCCAAACTCAGACACCCGTGGATCTCCCATTCGTGCCCTCGTCGGGGCCATCGGGCACCCCTCTGGGGGCCATGGACCACCCCCTGCCCGGACATCACCCCCCCAGCGAGGCCCAGCGCTTCACTGACATCATGTCGCATCCCCCGGGAGACTCGCCCAGCCCCGAACCCAACCTGCCCGGGTCCTTGCACTCCATGTCCGCGGAAGTTTTTGGCCCTAGTCCTCCGTTTTCTTCGCTATCTGTCAACGGCGGTGCTAACTACGGCAATCACTTGTCACACCCCCCCGAAATGAACGAAGCGGCAGTGTGGTAGCTTTAAAACAAACTGGGTCTAAGTAAGTGATGATCATCTAGTCTGCTTATTGTTACGGTGTACAGAAATGAATGCATAGAACATCTCTCCTGCCCTGAGACAATATTACCTTGGGCATGAACTGAACCCAAATCGCTCCAAGGGAAGCTTTGCTCTAGACCAGGACAATCTCCGCGTTACGGTTGTATCCAACAAGCAAAGGGACTGACTTTTTTTTGTACCACTGACAAAGGAACTGGTGAAGCTGTACAGTAAAGTGCTGCCA